AATTATACTAATACTACGTTAAAGCCTATATATGAACTATCAATAAAGAGTAAAAACTTTTATTTAAAATCAGGATAAATTAAGACTGGTGTAATTATTAAATATATTTTTAAATGTTCAAAAACCTTTTGTTGTAGTTTCGTCTAAATATAAGGTATATCTTTTCATAATAATAAATGCAAAGATGCAGCTGATGTTAAAAAGTTCTGAATAAATCTCCTATAATATGATGCTAGTCCTAAGAATCTTCGCAACTTAGTAATATTCTTTAGGATTGAAAAATTCTTGATCTTATCTATTTTAAAAGAGTCTAGTTAGATTTATTATTCACTTACGATATGTCTCAAAAATGCTAATTCTAATTTAACAAACTCACATTTATTCTTGTTAAATTTGAGTCTAACGTCCTTCAATCATTTAAAAATAAGCTGTAAATGTTACAAATGTGTATCAAAGGCATCTGAAAAGATGATAATATTATCAAGTTATACAGCTATAAATTGTTTGATCTCTTCTCTAAAAATCTTATTCATTAAATATTGGAAAGTTGCAGGGGCATTTGTTAATCCAAATGGCATTACTTTAAATTTATAAAGTCCTTGACTAGTTATAAAAACTGTTTTGACTTAGTCATTTGAGTCTATAATAACCTGCTAATATCCACTAATCAAATCTAACGTTGAAAAATATTTAACTTTTTCAAACATGTTGAGCAGTTTATTGATACGTAATAAGGGATATTTGTCTCATTGAATAATACTATTAAGTTTCTTGTAATTAATACAAAATCAAAGTTTTCCATTTTTCTTTCGAACAAGAATGACAGATGAGATCCAAGGACTTTCAGAGGGTTGTATCAAGTTATATTTCAACATCCTACTGACTTTATCTTTAATAATTCTTGTTTTCAAGAAGCCATCCTATATGCACGTTGTCATATAGGCATCAGATTTTCTATTAATATATGATGTATCTCAATCGTTATATGTCACAATTATGATAGATTCTCAGCGAATGCATCACTATTTTCATGTAAAAATTAGGTAATTTGCTATTGTTGAGGTTCATTAAGATGATTATAGATCTTTTTACAAGGTGGTAGTTTATTGGGAATATTCTGTAATAGTTGCTAATGATCCCATTCCTTCTTATAAAGTTGGCAGTTATCATTAATTTTATCTAATTTATTATGGCACTAATATCGATTTTCTGGTTTTTACCAATAATATTTTCATTTAACGTCTTTAGGTAGTTGGATATTAAACTTCTGATTTAAACTTTTAAAGTATTAGAAAGAATACTTCAGTCCATTTACCAAAATTTATTTTGGATTACTTTTAGCTAAAAGAATAAGACTATTATGGTTTCCTAATACTATATAATATCGTTGAACTATTAATTTTTCATTTTCGTATTTTTTATCAGATGGGTTTTTAACAATATTAATAGGTTGCTGAAAATGATCAAATTGCAGTTTCTCCTAACAGGTCATAGAAATCTGATATTCTTTATTATTCTAGATAAATGTAAATTTTTGACAGTTTCAATAAAGTCATTTTCGACATTTAGTAAGCCAATCATTTCTGGCTACTATGTAGTAATCATTTGATTCTGTGATGTCGATATTGATAGGGATCTTTATACCATTTATTTGTAAAGGAATATTAGTAAATCATCTTAAAGGTCATGATCATCTGCCTTGTATATTAATCATCATGATAGTAAAAACTGATTCAATTTTTTGCCTTAATTATTATAAAAAAGATTTAAATATTATACTTTTAGTTGATTCTGAATCTAAAATTAAATATATTAGTTTGTTATCAACGATAGTATTACAATAAACTGCTTCTATAACCCTTAGTAATTCTAAGGGGTTTATTCTTCCAATGATATGCTCACTCTCTAGAGATACCATTAATAATTTAAAGATTAGAATGAGAAGGCGAATGTATTCTGGGTACTTGTTGGTAGTAGATTTGGGATAAGGAAGATCATGAAGGTTTGTAGTAATGAAGTAAAGCCTATGCTATATATTAATGTAATTTGAGATAATGCAGCATATTGTTCAGTATTAAAGCCAATTGGTATATTAACATTTTTTCTAGTATTTCCAACAGAGTTATTCATGTTTCTAGTTGGATATATATATTCCCAGTGTTCAAATTGACTACAGTATAAGCAAGGTCCTCTTGGTGAATTATTGCAGTTCCTAGCAATTTATTCCTTTTGGTGACAATTATGACAAGTAATTCCTATATTAGGCCTATTGTTCAAACTGTATTGATTATTCCCATTATTATTCTGACTTCCTGGATTATTTTTTTACCTACAATCTCTAGCAATATAACCAGATCATCTACAATTATAATAGTTTTTGTTATTTTGATTACTATTGTCATTATTATTATTCCTCCAGTTGTTATTTGTATTGACTAAGTGTAAGCTAGTATTTTGGGAATTTAGCATAGTATTCAAGATAGTTAATAATTACTTAAATTCTTTTATCAACTTGTCATTATTTTAGTCGATAAGTTGTTGAATGTTAGAAGTAACGGTGAAATCTTCAATAGCGTCGTCATTCTTTTAGTTCAGATATGCTTTACTTAAAGAATACTCAGAAAGTATGCTATCCTTAGATAATACCACTACAATAGCTTATGCTCAATCAATAGCTTCTTCCAGATCATAGGATGCAGCAGTAGCAATAGCAGTATGAAATTCTGGGCGAAGCCCTTGTAAAAATTGTTCAATTTTTTCATCTTTAAGCATATTATAATTAGGATCTAACTTAAGGTACAATGATTCAACGTCAGTAGCATAATCTTCAATTGACTATCTAAAATACTGCTTATATTGTCTAAGTGCTGAACATCATTACGTTCTTTGATGAGTTATACAGTAATGTTTCAAGAAGTAATAAATAAAAGAATGATGTTTATGCTGTCAGTCAGTCAAATTATCCCAGTATCATAAATCTTTTTCATTCTTAATTTTATTATACCAAGTGAGAGCTGTTTCTTTCAAAAATAAAGGAACTAAGGTAAAGTGTCATCTATCAAAAAATTTTATTTGCATCCCTAGCATTATTATATCTTTCTAACCAATCATGAGGGTCTTGGTCTCATTCCTTAAAAGTTAGTAAATCTACAAATTTTGCTTCTCATTGTCTCCTCCCTTGAAAGTCAGTAAATCTACAAATTTTGCTTCTCATTATCCTCTAAATCTGATAGTTTTAAAGACAGTTTGCAACCCTTTCATTATTCTGAAGAAGTTTCGCTTATCTTGATTATTCATGTTATTTTCATTGAATAGGTCTTCTTCCTCAACATCATCAGAATAGTGATCACTAGAATCAGAATTAGAAAAAGACGAATAACTATCATAATAGAATATAGAATAACAGCTCTTCTGTTTACTAGTTCCCTTGTTTTTTGACTTTTTATTTTTACATTAATCTTGTAAACAATTGGTTTTATGCTTAGAGAAGCATAAGGGACTAATATTCTTTTAGTTTGAAGTTATGTCTTTCTCGTCAGAAAGTTCTGCATAGGTCAGTCTAGATGGTTTTCCAGTTCCTCTGTAAGAGCTAAAAGCTGATTCATCAAAACTTAGAGTTTGTTTACCAGTATCTTTTTCACTAAGAATAGTATTAGCAATTATAGTCTCTTCAAGTAGTAGATAGTTTCCTTAAAATGAGAAGAAATTTTCTTCAGCTAACTTGGAAATATCATTATTTTCAAAAGTAGTTGTTTAGAAGACCAGTCATTTTAGAAGGAGAAGAGTTACGACTAAGATTTACCAGTGATATATTAAGATAGGTAAGTAAATTGCTTTAGAATTTCTTTTGAAAAAAATTAGTTTTAGCTTAGACTCGAATACAATAGGTAATGGCTTGCTCAAAAGTTGGTATAAATATGTTTTTATATCTGAATATGTTAAGTGTCTGTCTATAGTATACTTCTCGTATATTAGTAATTTCTACAGAAATTGCAGTTTGAAAAGCTTTCAAATATTTGCTGATATATAATGATGCTCCTAAGACTTTCTGTGTTTACTCAAAGAAATTGAGAAAAGATTGAGAAATCTCTTTAGGTAGTAGATTACAAGTAATATAGGATGGATTGTCTGTTAATGTAAAATTTTCAGTAGCTTTTCTAAAATTACGCTCTTGTCTATTGTATACTGCTGAATGGTTTTGTTGATACTTAATTAATTCTTTAAAGTTGTTCATGGGGTATTTCACATGAGTTATTATTACATCAATTAGAAAAAAATGGTTCTGTTATTATTACCAAATGTTAACGTATAATTTTCGCAAACTATAACTATTAAACAGGTATTTAAGCAGTTTATTCTTTTTAATTGAGCAGTAATTTTTCAACAGTTTACAAGTTCTATTTTAGACTAATTACCAAACGTGTTTATATTATTATGATGGGTAAAGATTTAATAGATCACTAGTAATTTATATTTGTAAAATAATGTATTTATTCATAAGTAAAATAAAGAAAACAAAAGAAAATAAAGAGAATAGAATTACTGAAAAACTAACTTGTCGAGTCTTTGTCTATTTACTTTTTATATAATATAAAAAGCTATCTATTTATATAAAATAAATTACATAGGGAGATATAACTAATATGTCTACTATATCAACTATGTCTAATATGTCAGTTTTATCTAATCATCTTTCCAATGAACTGATATACAGATCATAAATACGTTAGATTCATTACTCTGTACAGTAGGGAATTTGCCTAGTCCAAGCAAACTATATATCTCTATATCCTATGTAAAAACCAGAGTTCGATCTCTCATAAGTGCTGAAGAAATTAGTGAATTGTTTATGTCAACTATGTTTAATATATCAGTTATGTCATATATGTCTGACATATTACATATATCATTTATGTTAAATTAGTTGATCTTTTGCATTATATAAGCTGCGTCATATTTACCTATTCATATTACCTTAAGATGATTATTTTAACAATCAGAAAGAATTCAACCAGAAAGACCTTAATCATGAATATCTTAACAAACTTGATGATTTTAATGATGATGAATGGAAGGATATGAATTCTAATAATGATAATTCTACACCTGTTAATTCTAGTTCAATATGAAAATATATTAGTAAAAATTCAAATAACTCAGAATTTAATATTTGTAAAAAATGTCATAAAAGTTCTAATTGAGAATAGATATTTCTTTTTTAAGAAAACATCTTGTAAAACATCGGCTAGAAGTTCTTACAAAACAAGAAATTCTAATGATAAAAAAAATGAGTCCTCTTAATAAAAATAAGCAAAAAGAACATAGTGATTATCTTATATAATAGATAATTTGTGATCTTCAACCTTTTATAGTTGTTGATAATCTATATTTTCAGGCAATAGTCAAATTTTTTATCTATGATATTTCATCTCTAAAAGACATCAAATAAAAGACTTAATAATTAAGATTTTTACTTCCTGATAAGTTAAAATTATTAATAATCTTTATCAAATTTTAAAATGATGCTCATTAACTGCTAATATGTAGACTTCAATAAATTAAGAGACTTTTTGAAATTTACAATTAATTACATAGATTCTGATTGGCAACTTTGCAATTTTCTTCTTAATATTATTCCCTTCTTTATAAGTCATTTCAAAATTAATATTGCATAAACAATTATACATATATTAAAAGAATTTAAAAATTTAAATAAAGTTCTTGCACTTATTATAGATAACAAATCTGCAATAATAGTATGTAAAAGAGAAATCGCTCAAGTTTTAATTAGAATTTCTACTATAACATTCTCATATTATTGATATATTACTCATATTCTTAATTTAAAAGTAAAATATGAAATAGAATTAATTAACCAACCAATTATAAATAAAGATGATACTGCAACTAGTTGCAACTATGTGATACTTATTTATCACCAGTTGCAATTAGTTGCAACTAGTTGCAACTCAATTTTTATTAATGTTACAATTAATTGCAATTCTGTAATGCTTATTTATCACCAGTTGCAACCAGTTGCAGTGCCATCTTTAATTATAAAAACACAAAAACTTATAGTTAAAATAAAGAAATTGACTCGTCTTTGTGATGAACTTTGCCTTTTATATAATTTAAAAAATATTATATATTTTAAACCAATTTTAGATGTAAAAACTTACTGGAACTTGATATATTATATGTTAATTTGGTTAAAATATCTTAAGCCAGCTTTAAATTTACTCGCAGCTAACTATTAATCAATTAAAGATCTTTATCTAAAAGATGATGATTGAATTATAATTAAGGTAATTAATCCTCTTATTACTTTTTCGATAATGATTAAATATAAATTAATTTTTACCAATTTTAAACTAACTTGAAAAATTATAATAATATAAATAGAATATTTATCTATGTTTTAAACCATTAGAAGAAATCACTAGTACTTATTAGCTTATCATATCTTACTTTAGGCAATATATGATTTATTTTTGAAGAAATTTAAATATATTTAGAGAATTTTATGGGTGATGAAGGTTTTATACAATGTGAAATTACAGCCTTAATTTTATATAAACTTAATAAATATTGTAGTATAATAAATAGATTATTAACTGTCTTAGCTATTTTAGATCTCAAAATAAACTTTCAGTTTTTTTAAATCATCAAAGAGAAAGTACACAAATTTATATTCAAGCTATATTTGATATATATATAAAAAATAATTTCCTAATATAATGTTACTACTTTCATCTAAATCAATTACTAATACTCATCAATATTTTATTCAATTTCAATAACCAATCAATAAAAATTTCTCTATATTACCAATCTTAATATCATCATCATCAGAATTAAATCATTATCTCATACTTCCTATTGATAAGAAAATAGAATCTCTTTTATAATAACAATCACATACAAAAGAGTATCCAATTTTAAGTAAGATAACATAAGATTATCTTTTAATTCAAGTTACTAATGTCACATCTAAGCAAGCATTTTTAGTTGCAAAAAATATGATTACTAAAACATATAATTATTTATTACTGAAAATGACAAGAGCATATCTTTATATGAAGAGTTGAACATTAAATAAAATAAGAGGATAATATTTAATCAAATTTATATGTAGTTTATTTTAGTTATAACAAATTATAAAAAAAAACATAAAAAATTAAATAATAAATATATAAAAATATGATAAAGTTTTTCTAAATTCCTTTGTTAGGTTTTTTTCTTTTAATTTAAATGATGAAATATTTAAATATATTATCAATGTTTAAAAGTTTAATTAAATGATATTAAATCAGTTATTTAGAACTAGTTTAAGAAACACAATTTAGACTGGTTATTTAGAACTGATTCAAAGAATTCAGTTTAGTTCAATTATATTATTAGAATAAAATTTATAAAACTGAAGTCTAACCAAACTGAACTGCCCTATCTCTATATATATAAGATCTTTGTAATAAAAAGTAAAGAAATAGCTGAAAAAATCAATTTTACTTTTATATATTGAATATATTTTTAGGTCAAAATATATTCAAATTTAACATTAACTCAATTTTTATTTTTTTTAGCTGTTTCCTCCTTTTTTTATTGCAAAAGTCTTATATGTTAAAATCATGAAAAATTATTAATTTTTGTTTATGTATTATAAGTACAAAATAGTATTCCTATATTAATGCTTATAAATCACACTAATTTTTTATTTATCTAAACTATTTATACTACTAATATTATTCATAATCTAGTTTTACTTGTTTCAACAAAAGTTAGTTATTAATTATATTTATACAAGACATAAAATAAATTTACTCTTAGTAAAGCTTTTTTTGATGCTTAGAAATCTAGAACAAAAAAAAATACTAGTATTTTATTGTAAAGCAAGCAAATATATCTTATTTATATAATATAGACCTATTGTAATTTTCTAAATAGTAGTAATGTGCATTTTTACATAATGAATTGCAAGTTAATTTTGCATTTAATTAAATACAGATTATGCGTAATATTTAAGAAAAATTTTTGAGATAATTTATAGAACATTTGGCTTAAACCATAAAATTTTTTAATCAAATAGTATTTTATTTCTAATACAAGCTAATTTTAATGAAAATTCCTTATATACTAAACTCAATTTTCGCAATTGTGAAAATAATCAAAATGTTATTAAATTATTTTATCCTAGGTATTAGAACTATTTTAACAATTCCTCTTAGCAAAAATTTCTATTAAAAGTTAATATTCTCATAAAATCATTAACTATCAATTTTCTTAAAAAGTATATCTAGGAATAAGAATATAACATTCTTAAAAACCTTACTAACAACACTTTTAAATTGGATCTTAATATATTAATATTAAAGAAGTAGTTGATGTTTTTAATAAAGTAAATATTTTATTGATAAATCTTTAGCAAAAAAAATTCATATTATCATATAATTTCTTGTCATTACTAGTAAAGTATCTTCTAATGATTTATCTCTTAAATAAAAATGGCTTTTTTGTAGGTTTAAGTTTATGATTGATAATTAGTAAATTTTAAGTATTATACTTTTTTTTATTATTTTACTGTATTAGTTTCGTCAATATACATCTCTTCTAATAAAATTAAAATTAAAAATAAAGATTTCATTATACTAGAAGTTTAGTTCTTTAAATGATTTTTCATTTATATTCACACTTATTTTTTTAGTTATAAAGATTTTTTTCATATAAATACTTTTTTAATTGATAAGCTTATTAATATATTTACCTTAATTTAATGTATTGAGGTATTAGAAAGTGATTTTTCAGGTTCACAAAGTGATTCATATATTAAATTAAAGGAAGAACCATTTTTTTTAAAATAAATTTGCCTTATGAAATAACTAAAAAACTTTTGAAATAATTAATTTATATCTTTCTTCTTACAATAAATCTAGAATAAACTATTACAATCACTTTTATTATGATTTATAATTCTAAAAAACAGTTGAATTTGTATAAAAAAGATTGATGAAAACCTATGAGTAATTATGCTCATTGAGGTTTCAGGTAATGGAAAAATATCTGTAATATTTAGAATTACTATGAAATGTTGATTAATCTATATTGATTTTTTTTCTAATGAGAGAATATATAGTAATCATATAAGGGCAGAACTTGAAATCATTAAAGCTATGAATCCTAAATTTTAACATTATAATCAATAAAGTAAAGCATTTTACATGTTAGATATGATAATACTCTTACGCAGATTTTTATTTCTTAAGATGCTCATGAAGAAAAAATTTTCAATGTCAAAAGGAATGACTATTTGTACAACTTTATTTGAATGATTTTGAGACCTGAAAGATCATAAATTCTAAAAATTATGATATTTTTACTATTAAGATATTTATCAAGAAAATTAATACTTGTCTCAAAATAGATTATATAACTTTAATATTTGATAATATGTAAGTTCTATATAAATAAAATTATAGAAAATATCAAGAAAGTACTGATTTAAACAAAAAATGAATTTTCTTATAGATCTATATTGAATATTTCACTCATCTTTATGTTACTTGTTTTATTGCTAACACTTACATGTATATTGTAAGTAAAATTCTCCTGTTATCAATATTGAAAAAAACTTAATATATACAGTTAACTTTTGTTATAATGAACTCTATGTCCTAAACCTCAACTTTGCTATAGGATTATAGTGAAGATTTTAAGAGATTTGATTGGCCAATTCACTATAATAAGAGTATTTTTATTATATTTATTCAAAAAATTCATTATATCAAGAGTTC